AGAAGGCTGTCACGCCCATCATAGTTCCTACACTGTACCGTTGGCGGCTACCGCGCCGCTGGCTCTTTTATTTCCCAACCAAGGGACCCCGCGCACCAAGGCACCGACGCACAAAGCTACTCAACACGCTAGCGGAACGATCAAGAGAGTGGCCGCCGTGTCTAAGCGCCCAACATGCCGGACGGAGACGGACGACAGCCTCCGGGGGGATCAGGTCAGGCTGCCCCTCCCCCCGGGGAAGGCGTCGCGGACGGAGGAGGGAGCGATTCTTTCTTCGTCAACGATGCACGAGACCGAGGGGGTGCGCGAGCGGCAGGAGGGGAAGATCAGCGCGACACGATGCGTTAACTGGTTGACCTCTTCAAGCAGGCCTTCGCGACATCAACTCATGTCCAGGGGCACCATGCCCACTCAGGCACGTCTAACAACCAGATATTAGAACTGAGGCAGAGAGAAAAGATAGATGTACCAGTATGGAGTGATGACTATCTGAAGAGCAGATCGATCGAAGTTGCATTGCGAGTGTTCACGAGTGCTTTTGAAGCGTGGCTCGAGAGTGAGGGACTTGCTGGTGTGATGAGGAGTTCAGAGGTCCCTGTTGGTGCAGCTGGTGTGGATTTGAATTGGTTGAGCAGCACGTTCGGAGAGGAGAGAGTGAAGCAATCCAGGAAGATTTGGACGTTTATGCTAGCTAAGATCACAGCACAACCCGTACAAGCCCAAATCTTGGCATCAGAATCACCTCAAGCAGGGTACCGCGTGTTTCTCGAACAATACAGCCAGGACAAGAGTCAGGAGCGACAAACTCTTGACGACGCATGGAACGTAATAGGCCAGAGGCAAGGAGAGAGTCTTATGGACTATTACGGTAGGGCAGTTGCGCTGTGGATGAGACTTCGATCGTATGATGATAACAGGGATGAAAAGTTGATGTGCAGGCACATAGTCCGGGGATTTCTCCGAAGGTTTGAGAAAACTAAAGACCGTCTTCTGTGTGATTCGATATTGTCGAGGGCTACAATGCAGGAGATGCTGAGGTTGGAAGAGCACGAGCTGAGGTACGAGCGGAGAGCTGGAGAGGGGAAGGAAGAGATGAGGCACGCCCTCGTCGCTGCCGGCGTGGGCCGGGGCGGCGAGGCGGGGAAACCAGCCGCTGCAGGATCGGAGCAAGGCGGACATCGACTCCAGCAACCACAAAGGTCGGTGCAGCCACATCAGCAGCAACCATCGCACTTCTGCCAGCTCCACGGCCCCAACAGCACCCACGAGACCTCCGAATGTCACAAGTTACGCAACGAATTTCTCGCCCACTACAACGAGTTCTGCGCGTACATGAGCGGGAGGCGGGAGGCCCAGGCATCGGTCTTCCCTCGAGGCGGAGCCCAAGACTCGGGGCGGATGCTTGGTGGCCCATATCGACAGCAGCCGTACCAAAACGAGCAAGGTGCGGGCTGGAGTCGGGGCCACTCTCCAGCGCTGCCGGGACCGCCGCGTGGGCAAGGATCCGGAACTGGAGGACAGCTGCAGGGGCGCAACTCTGGGGGGCGTGGGTATGGTGGATACGGTCCTTCCCCCCCGGAGAGCCGAGGTCGTCAGGTGGGCGGCCGTGGTGGTAATTATTCGCCACCCAACGTTCCTCCCGCCCAGATTGCTAACGTACCGCGGCCCTATTTTCCGGCTCAATTCGCCATGGGAGGTGGAGATCCATCAGGCGGCGACATCACTTCGGGATGGGAGGCCACGTCAGCGCCCGTATCTACACCCAGCTGGACCCCACCACCTCCTGAGGCAGGCTACGGGTACGGGCTCGCGGCTCACGGAGTGGACCATGGCGGAGGTCCCTACGGCAGCGCCGCCGGCGGGGGATACGGTTTCCACCAAGTGCCCGACGGCGGAGGGCTCTACCAGCAGCAAGAAGTGAGCAACGTACCACACTATCCTTCTGCTGCCGGACCGGACGCCCAACAACCGCGAGCCTACGAGGCCATCGACACCTCGCAGCAGCATGAGCAGCAGCAGCACTACGGTGCACCCCAGGCGACCTCTTCTTCCTTCTCTCTCTCTCCAGCTCCAGGCGACGCTCTACCTCCAGCCGGCGATTCCCCCCTACATCTCTTCGTGGCACGTGGCGTGTGCCCTCGAGGCAAGTCTGAGATGGTTTTGAGAAGGATGTTGGTTTTTCGAGGCCTGACGTGTTCACGAGTGCGGAGTCTCATGTGTCAATGCCTGGTGTTCCCCGCGTGCCTGCTGTGCATGAACGTTCTGATGATGAGTTCGGTGTCTTGAAGTTTGGTGTGTCTACTCATGATGTACCCCGCGTGCCCGCTGCACTTGAGAGTCCTGATGAAGTGGTCGGCGTTCCGGAGTGCGATGCATCTGTCCCTGCTCCACCAAGTGTGCCTCGAAGGGTTGTCGTAGCCTGTCTCACCCGCCGTCCCACGGTTGAGAAAGCGTTCTTGTGCCAACCCTCCATCCCGAATCCCATCGGTAGCGAACAATGGCAGGCCGATTCTGGAGTCAGTGCGATGATTACTAACAAAGTGGATGCAATGTACAATGTACG